TATCAATTAGAATATGATATTCGTGCTCTTCAACAAAATGACCAGAGTATTCAAGATTTCTATGTTGCTATGTCTGATTTGTGAGATCAATTGGCTCTTATCGAATCTAAAAATTTAAAAGATTTTGAGCCTTATATTGCTAGGAGGGAAGAACAATGTTTGATACAGTTTTTGATGGCCTTGCGTTCTAATTTTGAAGGCCTACATGGAACGATTCTTCACCGCTCCCCCTTCCCTAATTGGATTTTGTTGTTTATGAGTTGATTGCTAAAGAGACTCGAATCAAGTCTCACGTGGATAAAGGGTTTAAAGCAACCTCCATTCCTACTTTCACTATTTCTATGCTTGTTGTTTCCTATAATCAGTCTCGATAAACTCCAAGGGTTGCTTATGATGAGTGTGCATTCTGCAAACAGAAAAATCATTGGAAAACTTCGTGTCCATTGTTAGTTAACAAAGGTAAATATGGTCAGCCTCAGTCGGGACAACAGAATAAGTCTGGTCAACAGAAGTTTCAGCCACGTTCCTATGGTACTCCTCCATGGACACCTCGTCCTCTATAGTTTGTTGTTGCTGCTACACCACCAGTTGACACAAAATTTGTTGGAAACATGCCACCATCTACATTGGATCCCAAGGTTTTTGAGAGTTTCAGACAGTATTTGGCCTCTAATCCCACTGCCATGTCTGCATCTATGTCTTATTTCGGTCCTACTTCATCTGGTACCTCAGATATTCCCTTATCTTTGTGGATTTTAGATTCTGGTGCAACCCATCACATGACTCCTCATTTGTCATCAGTTACTTATTTGTCACATGTGTCATTTATTTGTGTTATGTCTGTTAGTGATACATATATGTTATTCGAGGGTGTTGGGTCTGTCTCTATTTCTCATATTACTCTCCTTGATGTTTATTACATCCAAACTTACTTTGAATCGTGCTTCAGTCAGTCAGTTGTGTAAGTTTGGTAATTGGGTGTTCTTTTCTAATTATGTATGTGTTATACAGGATCAAAACACCCAAAAGGTGATTGGGATCGGTCGTAGGGTGGGGTAACTGTATGTCTTGGAGTTTCTCAAAGTATCTATTGTTGTTGCTTCCAGTATTGATTTGTCTTCTTTTCATTTGAGTCCTTTGTCGTCTGAGTTTTATCTTTGGCACTCTCGTTTGGGACATGTGTTTGTATCACGTTTGAGTTTTCTAGCATCTAGTGGTGTTTTGGGTCATTTGAACACTTGTGATATTTTTTATTGTAGTGGTTGTGAACTGGAAAAAATTTATGCTTTACCTTTCAGTAAAAGTATGTCTTGTTCTACTACTCCTTTTGATATTATTCATTCTAATGTGTGGGTTCCTGCACCAGTATCCACAAAGGGTGGGTGAACCTATTATGTATCTTTTATAGATGATTATACTCGATATACCTGGGTTTATCTTATGAAACGCATATTTGATTTCCTTGGCATTTACAAGAGCTCTTGTTAAAACTCAACATTCGGCTGTGATCAAGTGCTTCAGGTGTAACTTAGGGGTGAATATACATCTAATGATTTTACTCGGTTACTTGCTTATGATGGTACCATACACCAATCATCGTGTACTGGCCTACCTCAGCAAAACGGTGTGGCAGAAGGAAAACATCATCATATTGTTGAGACAGCCCGCTCATTGCTCTTGTTTGCGCAGGTCCCTAGTGCCTTTTGGGGAGAAGCAGTCTTAACTGTTTTTTATATGATTAATTGTATCCCTGTTTCATTGAATTCAGGAATGTCTCCTTTTGAGAAGCTATATGGTCACCTACCAGACTACTCTGCCTTACGAGCTTTTGGATGTACTTGTTTTGTTCTTCGTCCTCATGTTGAGAGGAACAAGTTGGGGCCGAAATCTGCTATTTGTGTATTTTTGGGGTATGGTGTTGGACAGAAAGGATACCGTTGCTATGATCCAGTGAGTCAGAAGTTATATGTTTCCTGACATGTCGATTTTTTTGGAACATATTCCTTTCTACTTGATTCCTGCTACAACCCACAATGTACGAAGTCAGACCTTCTGCATATTGATCCTTTCGATGAGGAGACAGAGGCTCAAGACCCATCTATGCCACTTGATCCTTCATCTCATGACACACCCACTTCTTCGGAGAGTTCATCGACTCCTCCTGCTCATGAGTCTGTTCCTTCGACTGTTGAAACTGAAGATCCACCTCCATCACCACCCCTCAGGAGGTCTACTTGTCCTATCAAGTCCACCAAGCTTCCATATTTTGCTTACTCTACATACTCAGGGCTTGCTTCATTTATAGCAAACATCCATCATTTGTATGAACCTGAATCGTATAGAGAAGTTGTATTAGATACCCTTTAGCAGAATGCTATGGTTGAGGAACCCACTGCTCTTCATCAGACTCATACATGGGATTTGGTTTCCCTTCCTCCTAGGAAACATACGATTGGTTGTCGTTGGGTGTACAAGATAAAACAAAAGTTGATGGGTCTGTTGAGCGGTACAAGGCCAGACTTGTAGAAAAAAGGTATTGCCAACAATACAGTTTTGACTATGAGACCTTTTCCCCAATGGAAAAGAATACGACGGTCCGTACTATGATTGTAGTTGCATCCGTTCGAAAGTGGAAGATCTTTCAAATGGATGTCAAGAATGCCTTTTTGAATGGTGGCCTCCATGAAGAGGTTTATATGTCTCCTCCCCCAGTAATTCGGCACCAGTCGGGTGAGGTTTTTCGGCTTCGCAAAGCTTTGTATGGTCTCAAGCAATCACCTCGTGCTTGGTTTGAGAAATTCTCCATAGTGATTACCTCTCTTTGATTTGTCCAGAGTAATCATGATTCGACTTTGTTTGTTAGATGCTCGAGTGTTGGACAAATTCTTTTGTCCTTTATATGTGGATGACATGAATATTACTGGTGATGACCATCGTGGTATTGAGTCTTTGAAGCATGATCTAGCTCATCGATTTGCTATGAAGGATTTGGTCTTGTTGTGTTATTTCTTGGGTATTGAGGTTGCTCGGTCTAAGAAAGGGTATCTTCTTTCTTAGACTAAATATATATTTGACTTGTTTACACGGGCGGGCCTCTCTGACAATAAGACTGTTGATACTCCTCTTGAAACCAATGCACAATACTCTCCTACTGATGGTGTTCCTTTGTCCAATCCGAATCTTTATCGCACTATTGTGGGAAGTTTGGTTTATCTCACAGCTACTCGTCCGGATATTGCTTATGTTGTTTATGTTGTCAGTCAGTTTGTTACTGCTCCTACCTATGTTCATTGGGGAGTTGTACTCTGTATTCTGAGATATCTTCATGGCACTCGGTTTCAGACCCTCTTGTTTCCCTTGACGTCTTCTCTTGAGTTGTGTGCCTATAGTGATGCTGATTGGGATGACGATCGTCATGATTGTAAATCCACCATCGGATTTTGTATATTTCTTGGAGAGTCTCTCATTTCATGGAAGAGCAAGAAATAGGACATTGTCTCTAGATCTTCCACGGAGGTTGAGTATCGTGCTATAGCTGTGACTACATGTGAGATTATCTGGTTACGGTGGTTGTTTGCGGATATGGGAGTTCACATTTCTTTACCTACTCCCCTGCATTGTGATAACAAAAGTGCGATACAAATTGCAAAGAATTTTGTTTTCCATGAGCGGACGAAGCACATTGATATTGAGTGTCACTTCACCCGTCATCAATTACAGCTCGGAACCATATTGCTTCCGTTTGTTCATCAACCTTGCAGTTTGCGGATATTTTTACGAAGGCTCTATCGGCATCTCGGTTTCGGTTCTTGTATGACAAACTCTTAATGATTATTTTTGTGGCATTGTGAGTTTGAGGGGGGATGTTAGCATATATGTTATTAGCTCACATGTTTATGGGCCCTTTAGGCTTTAGCCCATTAGGGTTTTGTCTTAGCTAGTATTTATTCTACCCTTTCTTATTTGTAGCCTTTTATGCTTTTCATTGAGAAGCTGGTACTTTCTTTCTTTCAATAATCATATGGCAATATTATTAGTCTGCATATGGAGACCGTTTTTGCCCACCATTCAGACCTCGCCTCTCTCCCTCCTCAACTATCATTCGACGAAAATGTCATCTCCATCTACAAAAAGGCAACCACTGTTAGTCACCCTTTGTCCAACTCCTTCTGATACATTCGGTCTTTGATGTTGAAACCTATCAAACTAATCTATTTCTCTCAACCATCTTTCTACCTTCGACGACCACCACTTCCTCCATCACTGGATGTCTCTACCCCATCGTACATGTTATTGTCCAACGTCACCATCTTAATAAATCTCTCTACCTAAAGGCAAAAGCCACTTCATTCTACATCCGATGATGTTGGTTTTGATTTTAGATTTAGTGTTTTCATTTGTTGGTGGTGATAGTATTGATGATCAATGGGTTGGACAGTTTCAATGGTGTTAGTGGGATAGGGTTTCAGTGGTGGTGGTGATAGTTTAATGATTAAGTGGTTTGGTGACACAAGTGGTGATAATGTCAATGGTGGTTAATTTTCTTCTGACAGTGGGTGGTGGTGCTGATAGGGTCTTGGTATTAGTATTGGTGATGGTGGTGGTTAGTGGTTGGTTGTTTAACAAAAGTGTATGGTGGTGTTGGTATTAGTGGTAGTGGTGATGATTTGTTGTGTAATGGTGTTGGTGATTGGTCGTGTAATGGTGGTGTGGGGGTTGGTTAAGATTGGGATATGTGGTATCATCTGCATATTAATTAAAATAACAAAATACAAAAATACAAAAATAGACACTTTCCTCATTTTAATGTACTAACAGAGCATCTTAGATGGTAACAGTCTCAAGAACTAGGGGTGCAACTTTTGGAAACCACATGAAGGAGTTATGTCAAAAATTCAAAAGTTAAACTAAAAATATAGATTGATATAAACCATAAGGACTAAAAATGTAATTTACTACAAATTCATTAGAGATTTTAAGAATAAGAACAAATTATTAAAAATGTCCCTATGGTTTGAAAAAGTTCCGCTTTTGGTCCTTATCTTTTGTTTTGCATTCGGACCGTCCCTATAGTTTGTTTTCGTTTCGTTTTTCCATTTATTTATATATTTACAATTTCCTAATTACAATTTCCTAATTAGAAAAATAAAAAAACCCTACCCCCAACTAACACCACCACCAACACTACCATTCAACACCACCACCACCATTATCGTTGACCGCCACTACCACCATTGTCGTCGACCATCACCACCAATGTTGCAGTCGACTGCCACCGCTGCAGATTCCGGCGACACATGTATATTCCGGTGATACCTGCATATTCCGCCAACACCAAACCTACAGATTCCGGAAACACCTACATATTTCGGCCTCTTGTTCTCTTGCCAATGCCACTAAAAAAGCCACATGCAGATTGTAGGAAAAAAACCAGTCTCAAAAGCTTGTGAAAATCAAATTTTTGTCTTCAACCAGATTCAAAGTTTGCAACCCATCTTCAACCCAAAAAAAACAAAAAGGTAACCCAAATCAAAACCTGAATCAAATATTGCTTCCATCGGTTTCATCAGGAACCACTAAAAATCGGAGCTAACATCACCAGAAACACCAGAACGCCACCGTCGTCGACTCTCTCTTCCCGATGCGTCTTGTTGGAAACCATTGCAGTCGCCATCATCGGTTCTCTCTACTCCGTTGTCTCACCGGAAACAGATGTCGCCTCCATCATCGGCTCTTTCTACTCCATTTTCTTTCCCTCTTATTGCAAACTAAAAAAGAGAATACCAAAATAAAAAACAAACCAAACACTAAGTTTTAGAAATGAAAATGGAAATCAATTGTGTTCTTATTTGGAATTTCAGAAATCAAAATCAAACCTAGGATCGAAAGCATCTCGAAATCAATTGAGTAGCTAGGGTTCTACACAGAAAAGCATCTTGAAATCACTGACATTTTTGTGAAGAGGTTCCAGATGGTTAATGGTGACTTCACAGTTCAGAGACCGGAGAGAGTTGTTCCCGTAGGTGAATTGTCGTAGTTGGTGGTGACGGTCCAAGGATATGAAATCGACCATCCCCTCCTCATTCAGGCAGAAATCGAGCGACGATGGAAAAAGGTGATAGTCCAATGCTTTCCGGCAGTCGATGGATGTTATGGTCTAGTGGTCGACTGTGGATTTAGGGTTCTTCAGTTAAAGCTTTGACAAGAGATAGGGAAGATGATATACGTATGTATCGGAAATCAAATGGGTGTATGTAGGTGGGTTGGGCCCACTTTATTTAAATGAATAAGTAGGTTTAAACCCGTGGAAAACCACGGTTGATAAATTGAAATAGAATCATACTTTTTCATAGTGTAATAAAAAAAATATCAAAGTTTAGAAATAATGAAGAATAGTGATATTGTAATTAACATGAATAAATCAAATACAATAAAGTATTATAAATTAATTAATTAATATGATGGATGAAGTGTGATACACGAAAACTAAATAAAAGATGGTAGAAAAACACTGTTTATAAATTCCCAAAAACTTCCTTATAAATGACATTGTAAGTTTTATTTTTGAGACTATCATCCTTATCTAAAATTAACAATTTTAATCTGTCACTGCTTTGAACTCTGGATAAGACAACATACAATTGGCCATGTGAAAAGACGGTATGTTTGAGAAACAAACCAACCTTGGATAATGACTGTCCCTGACTCTTATTAATGGTCATTGCAAAACATACAACCAATGGAAACTGTCTTCTTCAGAATTTGAAGGGAATTTTCTTTTCTGATGGAGTTAAAGATATTCTTAGAATAAAAGTGTGGTTTCTAATATTAGTTCCAGATATGATACGTGCCTCAATTACACGTTTGCCCAATGATATCACCTGGAGTCTTGTCCCATTACACAATTCATTTTTCTAATCAATATTTCTCAGCAACATAACCGGAACACCGATTTTTAAAACTAACTTATGGTTTGGTAAACCCGATACTTTCATACCATTTAAAACATCAGGTGAATATAAATTTTCATCAAACTGATCATGGACAAATTCAGATTGGCATATACTATCTGAACTTAAGTATTCAACCTCATCTCCTGGAAACTTCGATAGCAAACAGTCGTTTATTTCCTGAACCACTTCATTCTTTGGAGCAAGTATTGCTCTTTCTTGAAAATAGCTTGTATTGTTGTACTTTTCCAAAATTGAAGGATATACGAAGTCGATTAATGAACCTATAGGATCATGTGGATCATTAATGAGAATATCATTTGGAATATCAATAACCGTTTCTCCATCGTTGATACCACCAAGTTTTCCTTCTCCTATATCCAACAACCATTTTACAAAATCTCTGATTTTTTCTATATCAGATTGATCCATTCCAACAGTTAGTCTCATGTTTTTTGTTAATTTATGGATCTTGCATTGTTTCCATAAATATGAAGAACTTAAAGAAGCATTAACAATGTTTTGTCTACTTTCACCTGGAATAACAGGTAGAATCTGTCTGAAATCTCCTCCAAAAATAATAACTTTCCCTCCAAACGGAATATCTGAGTTGCTAGAATTTTCAGACCTGAATACATCTTTCAAACTTCGATCTAAAGCTTCAAATGCATGCTTATGGACCATAGGAGCTTCATACCAAATTATCAATGAGGTTTTTCTCAATAAGCTAGCGAGGTCACTATCTCGATTTATTCTACAAACAGAATCCTCTGTTAGTTCAAATGGAATTATAAATCGAGAGTGTGCTGTTCTACCTCCGGGCAATAATAATGAAGCAATCCCACTTGAAGCAACATTTAAAACAATATGACCATCTTTTCTAATAGCTGCAGATATTGTCTTCCATAAAAAACTTTTATCAGTTCCACCATAACCATAAACAAAGAAGACACCTCCTTTATTTTCTTTAGCTGCACTCATGATATCAAGGAAAATGTAACGCTGCTCATTTTTCAATGCAAGAAACATACGATCAAACTCAGTCTTCGTAACGGGAATGTCATAATCAAGCTCCTCGGTGATAAGTCGATAGTTTGAAGAAGAAACAGAATCAACATCCGAGATAGGTATGTTTTTATAACTTTTTAGACTCAATTTGTTCCGAAGTAAAACTTGTTCTATCTCGAACAAAGTTAAGTTCTTAAGTTGATCTTCATTGAATGATAAGTCTGGAGGACAAAGAGCAAATTAATTAGAAATATTATTAACAATATTTATTTATAATTAAAATATTTAATGTATGTTTAAAAATAAATAATTGACTATTTAAATAAATAATAATAAAAATAAACTTTAATACCTGGAGACTTGAATCTCTGTCGTTGGTTATAAAGAATTCCATCTGCCAAATATTCCCATGTGTTTTCCCAAACAACCTCCGGTTTAGACATACTATTACACATCAACAATGTAGCAAATAAGAATTGTATGTAAAAACCAGATCCATAATGACTTGCTTCTTTGATTGCATCGATGTATTCCTTGTCATCATCCAAGAGCCCAAGAGCATAACAAGCATCTCTAAAAGAAGAATATTCTTCACCATTTACTGTGCGAATTTCTTCAAATGATTTCGGACCTTTCACCTTACTTAACAAAATCCTTAAGAAATAAGCTTCCCCTAGATTAGGTGAAACCGAATGAATTGTACCAATGCACTTTCCTACTTCTCATGGCTTCCAAAATCTATCACCACATTTCCTAACAAACTTTGTAGGAAATTCAACATACGTAAGTTTCCGTGCATCACCATTAACTGCATTACACTCCATCCAAGCTGTGAACATTGAAGAAGCAACATAAGGTTTGTCGAGAACATCGTCAATATCATCGTCTTCCCTATATCCAATTTGTTGTTGACCAGGAAGATGAATAGGCAGTCTAACCACAGAAGGATACCTATAATAAACATCATATTTAAAAATTCGCCATGATGCTTCACATGAAGATAAATATCTACAGTCGTAATACTCATTTATTTCATCGACTGCATCATTAGTATCACAGTCGTTATTACTTCGTACAATGGCAACTGTAGCTCTATCAGGTCCCTTGTTTATGTATTTAAAAAAAATACTTTATAGAAGAACCCTGATTGCACCATTCAACATTAATATGTGTTTGATATCTTTTCAATAGATATTTGTTGTAAGGGACAACATTTCTATTATCCAACTTTACACCCGATTTTTCAACAAAATGACCATCGTTTCTTCTCCTATATAATGGAAAACCATTATGATCAACAGACATATGATTACAGAATTGCTTTGGAAAGTTTTTTGAGCACTTTTTGTCAACCATGCATGGACAATTATTATTTTCAGCGCCACATGGACCATGAATCATGAACTCATTCATAAGTGAATACAATTCTAGATCTTCATCTATGTTTGGTATCTCAGCGGAAATTATCGGATTGATAAATTCAACAGTGGGCAGCTTGTAGTCAGAATGCATAAATAGACATATATGACTATGGGGCAAACCTCTTTTTTGAAATTCAATTATATAAACAACTGCATAATATTATGCACAAAAATCAAATATGATTATACCGTAATGAAAAATATAAAAAATATATAATAAAAAGCATAAACTTTTATCAATTATGAAGAAACATAATTTTAAATACCTGCTTGAACTATGCCGAAAATGTGATTCTCCCTTAAGTCTTTAATAAATGCATCAAGCTTGATCTTGAACAACCTACATAGTATATCGGGTTTGTCTTCTGGTTAAAGTGAAGTATCCTTAAGAAACCTTTTAACCTCTAGCCATTTGGGATTACACGTAAAGGTTATGAAGAAATCAGGATATCCAAACCATTTACATAACGACATGGCATCCAAATAGCTTTGCAGCATATAGCGCGCACCACCAGTAAAAGATGAAAGTAATATCACACGTTGGCCGACGTTGGAGATAGTTGTAGTTCCTTGAGCTTTTTGGTTACGTAAATTCTCATAAGACTCACATCTAAGAACATGTTGTTGCCTACGTATGTAATACAATCTCTCACTTTCAATCATCGTATAATCATCTACCAAAAATTGTTGAAACAACCTTTTTGAATTAAGAATCAATGAGAACGAATGATCCCTATCTTGAATTCTAAAAGCGAAAAATTATCTCATTGTACATTTTGCGCGCTTGATGTTGGTTGTAGATGTAACACCTCTATGAAGAATATCAACGTTGTAACCATCATCCCCATATGGAAATAGTAGTGGATATTGGAGAGTAAGGTAAGAATGATGCAATTCACTGATACGTTGTAGAAATCCGGATCTAGTTTCAACAACGATATCTATATATTCAACTGAATCACAAATGTCACCTATAATTAAAGCGGCAACCTCAGAAGCAGTTGGTAGGTTATATGTCCTTCCATCTCGATCCCTTCTCCTGATAATTCTTAACTTCATATCAACTTGAGGATTTTTTTAAAAAGTATCTCTTACTATCCTATAAGAGCTAACCAAGACATTATTTGAATCTAACATCACCTTCAAATCTTCAATAATATCATTATCGATTGATGTAGATTGATGCTTTTCCCCACTATAAAAATTGAATATATATATATATATATATATATATATATATATATATATATATATATATATATACACACACACACATAATATTAGTAAAAAAAAGATTAAAATTAAGTATGAATAAGAAGTTTGAAAATATACCCAAAACATCTTTGTCTATTTGAATTTTCGTTGTCGGTATCATAAATGTATAACTGAGAGAATTTTGGTTGCGATCCATTTGGTGGTAAAAAGCTTCCAATACTATAATAATTTTGACCACCAAGTCTGAAAATGTATGGAGCATTTCCTCCATTGATTGAAGAATCAATTTTACCACCCATCGACGTAAAAGAAAACATTGAATTGTAACGTCGAATGTTTTTCATAAAGTTTTTGCTTTTAGAATCCGTACCTCGAAACATTCTTTCATAAGTTGGTGTTGCGTTCTTTAAATATGGAAGTTGAACCTTGCCATAACCACAACATAACAAATAATTTGTGTTCCCTTTTTGTTTTCCTCTAATGGATTCATTTTTCCATAATTTTGCATGACATGTTTGACATACAACAATTTGATCGTCATGATCCAAATATTCTGTAATAAAATAAAGTGGTATAAGTAAAATATTGAATTTTATAAATATATATAATACGGTATTTGAGTTGTAAGAAAAAAAAGAAAATTGGTATATATATGGATTACCTTTGGAAATACCAATTATTATGTTTTCAGTAATGACTTCATGCATATTTTCTACATCTGGTGTCAAGTCAATCAATGGAATAGGAGATAAATGTTCCAACTTTCTTTTTAATTTATGACATCCTGGATTTAACTTGATTGACGATGAAGAAACGGTTATTGTAGATGCATTTCTCGAGGTCATGCCATTACAAAGTCCAGAGTAATGTATTTTATTTTGTAACGTTGAAGTTGCGTAGTTATTGAAACTAATATTAGCCGAAAAAAAAATAGTAAGGATATATAAATATATTAGGAAGCGGTTAAAAGAAAATTTTGAAAAGCAATATTATTACCATTTGAAATGTTAATAACGGAATTCTAACATTTATATATGAAGAAGAAGATTGTATGGGTGTATTTTGGTTTCCACGTGATTTATAGGAACGGGCATTTTCATTTTCATGAACAACGTTTTTTATTGATCTGTAAAAAACAAATTGTTATAAAAATTGAAGACATGTAATATAAAATAAAATTAGCATGTAAAATTTTATATTAATACAGGGAAATAATATAAAATGATGAGAATATATATATATATATATATATATATATATATATATATATATATATATATATATATATATATATATATATATATATAAATGAATAGTAAAAATTAAAAAATAAAATAAGAAAATTACAATTATCCATGTTTGTTAAGACATGTGGTGCACATCGATTTTGAACAGTGGATTTTGTATTCCTTTTCTTCGATCTCTTATTATCCAAATATAATTTTTTCTGTCTTCTTTTCTCTCTTGCTTGCAAGTAATACATATTCTCATTTGTTTCTCCATAACGAATAAAAAGTATATGATATTAAATATATAGGAGTGTAAATAGTTGTGTTTGATATAAAACTCAAAATAATAAATGATTGAACTTTGGTTAACATTAAATTTTTCATAATAATATATAATGACTAATAATAATAGTGGAGAAAAAAATCTACCTTTGTAACCGTTGTTAACAAATGTTACAGATGATGAATCTTCTGTGGTCGATGAAGTAGACAATTTTTTTGGTTTTTCTTATTATGTTAATACAGATTATTGTTAGAATAATACATGTTATTGTTTGATTATGAAATTGCTTGAGGGAGATATTATATTTATTTAAATATGAATTTAACAATATATATTGAAAATATATAGAATTTATAAAAGTTTGTATTTATATAATATGAAAATAATTTATGTAATATTTTTATGTTATTAAAAGATTTATTTAGAGCTTAAAAAATCCGTAACAAAAATATAAAAAAAATGTTAAAGAAAAAACATACCGTTGTAAGCTGAATCAATAGCATTTGTAGCGGTTGAAGTTTGTCGGCTTGATGTAGTAGACAAATTAATGTTATTTCTATTATCTAAATAAAAACTATTTAATTTTCTACTCTTTTTAGAATTAAACGACTTCATGATATATCTGCAATCTGAACAAATAACAACAATTACTTTATAAAATAATATGATAGGCAGTAAAGAGTATGATTCAATTAAAGGAAAATAATGTATAAACTAATATTATGATAAGATTTGACATATAATTGCAATTTGTTTTATCATATTCTGTAATTCGGTCAAATTTTGAAATATGATTGCATTTAAATATTTTTTACTTTTTTATGTACCCTAATATAAAAAGTTTATTTATTGTATATTTATATAACATTAATAAAATTAAATATGAACAAATTCTATTTATATTAAAAAATGTATCAGTAAAAAAAATGTACATAGTTTTTTGTTAATGATTCACAAGTTAATATACAAGTTAGTTGTCAGTTATTATGAAACAGGGACCATTTACATAAATTTACTTTAACATGGAGCATAAATTGGAATTTTCTTTAGTTAGAAGATAAAACAAACATTTAGGTTTGTCTGAAACACAAACACACATTACAATCGGACTTCTATGTATAGATAGAAATGAAGAACGAAAACAAATAGTTGGGTTAAAGCTTATTCGTTTGTTGTGTCGATCTTTTAAACTTAGAAGGTCACAGATGTGTTAAGGTCAGAAAAATGGGGACCGGAGGCGAAGGTGTATTACAAATCGACTTCAATATTAATTAGAAGTTTCGATTTTTCAGAAGTAAAGATTTGGTTACCTGTAATCGTCAATTGGAGAGGACAACAAGAATCAAGAACGAAAAAACGCAGCTACTATCGGCAAAGCAAAGACGATCTAGATGAAACGACTTAAAATAAAGTTAAGGTTTTATAATCTTTTAATTTAGGTTTGAACTTTTGTTTTTGAAATTCTGTGGAGGGAACGATAATTTGTTTTGAAATTTTGAAACTATTAAAAAAATTGTTGTTAATCATGCATGAATGTCGGTGAAATTAATAAAAAAGGAATGTTTTTTTCGTATTTCTTCTTCACTGTGACGACGTGAACTAATAATATTATCAAATTAACTTATTAACTTAATTAAATATAAAAGTCTTATATTAATCTTTTGTAAAACGCCATTAGTTGTCCAGAATATGAAATTACAAAAATCCAAGAACACCATACAGTGCATCCATAGTGAACTATAGATAGAAGATTGCATCTGTCATGGAATATGTATTCAAATTACCTCTATATTGTGTTTAACACTTCCATATATCTTTTCTCTATATTTTTAAATTGGTATATCCAAAGAAGTTGAAGTGATTAGTGCCATAGGAAGAGTGCGCAGATTCTACAACAATGTTTGTTTATTATGTAAATGAAGTTTATATATTTGATGGTTAAGATGACTCCATTTTAATTGTAATTTTCAGGCATTATCTGCAACCAAAGGGTAATTTTTCATTTTATTTTCATTTTCTGCATTTAAGTTAGTTAGGGTAATATGGGAAATCATCAAATTACAAACTATCTTAACAGTGGGAGGGGCATTTTAGGCAATTTATGTTAGAAATTCAGGGTAATAAAGGCACTTTGATATTCTGAGAATTGTGATTTCACTATCAAATCAAAGTATTGGGTGGTACTCCCTAATCTTTGATTGGATAAGACTCAGAAGAGAATAGAACAGAGAATGAGATATATGAATTTCGTAAGTACCAGAAAAAACTGACCAAAATTGGTTAAATACCTCCTTTGTCTGAAAACTGTCAAAACTGTTGGCAACAGTGAAAAAACTGTCATAAATCCGGGTTTTCTATAAGGATTAATACCGAGCCAAAAAAAACGGGTCAAATATTCTATAAGGATTAATACCCAGCCAGGGGCTGCCACCCCTTGGACCCCGCTCCCAGGGGCACTGCCCACAGACCCCCGTTCCTTCAGGGGCTTCGCCCCTAAATGACAGTCTACTTTTAATCTTGAATAAACTTAAACAAGTGTGCACTCCACACCTTCCTTACTTGTTTAATATTTATCAAGATCACTTTTGGTCAACAAAGTAATCACATTACACTTAAATCACATTAGTGAAACAAATCACCAACAATTTATAGTTTTTAAAAAGAATACATATGTAAACATACATATCTTCTTACAATTTTCAGGGGTAATATGGGAAATCATGTAATGAATTCGAGACATGCCTTTATCCAATAGAAGAACCTTAAAACTAAATTAGGCACTTGAAGAACCTTTTTAGAAACGTTATGTACAAATTCAGAATCAAACTTTAAGGGCAATTTGGGAATCCAGATTCCACCACTCGTACTATTGGACTCAAATCCTTTTCAGCCATATTGGTTGTGACATCCCCATTTTCACGGCCAGAAAATGCCGATTTTGTTTATGCTTTATAAAAATCAGAGTACCTCTTTTAATAAAAATGTTGCGGAATTTGTTCCCAGAAAAACATGATAAATACGTTATCAAAGCATTTCCGAAGAAATGTATTTTTATTCATTTTAAAACATTGGGATGTCATCGTCAATACAGAAACATAAGCATAAACAGAACTTACATTCATTTACACTAGTGATCTACATCTCTTTTAAATCTCTCAGTGTAATGTAACTTCATATCGACACCTGTGATACAAATAAACTGAGCGGGTCAGGTTGGGAAACCTGGTGAGTACATAGGGTTTTCAACCCACAATAATATAATTATTATGTTTAATCATCAAACAATTAACTCAATTACCCATCCCCATTATCTTATTTACTCTTAAGGATCT